GGGGGGGGGGTATTGTGGTGTTTCGTATACGATAATTTATATCTCATTTTGTTGAAAGGAGTGTAACACCGTGCTTTAAAAAGGCCAGTTTATATCGGAATGGGCGCGAAAACAGCGAAACCGCAACCCTCGAAAGGTGGAACGATTAGTAAGTTCATTAGAGGGCAGGTGACTTGAGTACATGAGCTGTTGGTAAAGTCCACAGAGTTAGGAAAAAGACAGAAGGTGCGCACTCGGCTTCATTTGATATCGCATTGGATAACATGTATGAACGGATACATGACTCATCATAATTATATAATGGGCAGATCTCTAAATTCTGGACATCTCAATCCTTCTATCACGTAAGAGTAGTAATAATTGCCCAGTAAGATCGTGAATATACGAAGCCCACTCACCCCCTTGTAGTTACAATGTTTGCTGTTGCTGGGTTGTAGAGAAGTGTACCATGAGTTATCAGTTTTAAATCCAGAATACTCTATAGACAGCTTTGGTAAGAATATTACTCAAAAGAAGTAGAAGAAGCAGCTCACACCGCAAGGCCCCCCCCCCCAACCCCATTTCCTGTAGGTACTGTAGGAATGTAACAACATTCTCCACTACAGCCACTACTGCTGTTGGAAAGGTACTTTCAGTTTTGCGTGACACATATGTGACTGTGTCCGCTCTGGGCCGACTGCGATGACAAAATTTTAAAATGATTGTGAATGTGATCGACACATGACAAACAAGCAATTTGAATAGATAATGTCATCTCAACCCAGTGTCAAGGTTTGGAACTGCACGCCCTTCTGGGAACTAACACTCCAACAACAACAGCAGCAATAAATACAATAACAATCATCATCATCATCATCATCATCATCATCATCATCATCATCATCATCATCATCATCATCATCATCATCATCATCATCACCATCAAGGCAACTCGAATGGAGTTATTTGGACGAGTGGAAGTGCCTCTGAGTACAGTGACAATGGAGCCTAAAAAGGCCTCTCTCTCGCTCGAAGATTTTTTCGTGGAGTCTTTAATTAAGGAAACAAAAATCGTCATAATCATCATCATCATCATCATCGAAGAAGAAGAAGAAGACGAAGAAGAAGAAGAAGAAGAAGAAGAAGAAGAAGAAGAAGAAGAA